AACAACCATGGTTAATTTCCTGCAACTTTGTCTGTAATTCTGTTTTGTTTGTATTGTTCTTATGCTATTTTGCAAATGGATGTCTGCCTGTTAATATATTTTCCTTCTTTTGTTTTTTAAAATAAAAGATAACATAAAAATGAGTTTGAATGAATACCAACTAAATATCAGAAGCTACAGTATTTAACTCAAGGCAGGGAATAGCATGAAAATATGTCTAGTAAAAAGGCATTATCATAAAAAGGACATGTAAGGTTATAAATTTTTAAAGGAAAATGTAGTAACACATAAATCCAGAAATCAGAAAAATAAAAATAAGGAAATATAATTATAAAGCAGCCAGATACCACCAAAAGGATGATTATATGTTTTAAAGTAAAAAGCATCAAATTTATGAAAATCAAGAAGCATCAAAGGTTTCTGGCTCAACAACTGTAAAACACTGAGGACCCTATGCTGTACCTCAGTGTTCCCATATAACTGTCTTCCCTGCACTGACAGGCTACCGCTCATGGAAACTGTTGTTTCCAGAAGGTCCAGTAGCAAATTAAAAGAGTAGCAACCAACAGAAAACCCACAATTTCTCAGACACCCCATGAAGTTCCAGGTATAAAAGCAGACTCAGCGGCTGGGGATATAACTCAGTGGCAGGGCACCCGCCTGGCAAGCACAAGGTCCTGAGTTCAATTTCCGGTTAAAAGAAAAAAAGTAGACTTACATCTCAGGAAACTAAATCATGTTCAGAGTAAACTTGCTTGTGAAATGTGAGTTTCTGAAGACACAATGTCCTGGGATTCCAGTTAAGTTCTTAGTATAAACTTAGCACAACTGGGCTTCTCTTCTTGAACCCTAGATTACTTACTGTTCCTAAGCTTTGAAGTCTAACCAAACACCTCCCTGTCCCTTCTCATTACCTGAACTGTTCTCTTTTCGTGGGGTCCCAGACCTATCTGGGACATCCCCTTGGCTTACAAGTCAGTGCATCATCTTTTTTACTGGGCCCACCCAGTGGGATGCATTAGTACTACCTTTTCTCCCCCTCCTTAATGGACATGCCCCGGAGCTATACAGTGTATTTCACAAAGCAGGTAAGTCGAATCTTTGTGAAATCAAGTCCACTGCTAAATGTTTCCCCTACTTTTAACAAAATTTTACATATAGAAACATCAAAGCTAAGTTTCAATAATATCTACTTGAAAAATGTAACTGCTGCCTCTCATAACCGAAAGTCTAATATACAGTTAAATGGGAAGTAAGGATGGCAGTGTTAATGAGATCTGTTCACTAATATACTTAGTATGTTCACATCTAAACAACAAATGACAATCATCAAGGTGTATCTTTCTAAGAATTGTTTCTGACATCAATGTTGAAATGGAGTATGTATTTTCAAGGTAAGTCTAAAACCTGCCATTTCTCAGCCAATGGAGTCACCTTTTGGCTTTCCTTTTGAAAAATTAATATTAAAACTAGAAACAGTAGGACACACTAACTTTATAGGATGAACACACACATGGTCAAAGATTTGGGGTCATGGCCAAGGTCACCTCATGTGTATCTTCTAAAAAAACTTCATTTTATAAGTAGCCCAATAATTTTGCATAACCATAAGTTGAAAAGGAACACTATTTCTTTTTCTTTGTTCCACTGAAGTCTTTATGAACAAAGGCTATCTTTATGTATTTCACTGATTGTTTTCAGTAGTATACTAAGGACTTTCATCTCTGTAGAACATAGGCATCCCTAAGGAAGTGTAAGTCAATAAACAAATTTCCAAACAAATCAAGGTATTATCTTTTAAAAGTCTCAATTTGAGCATTAATTCAGTTAAAAATATACACTTTTAATTTATAATTTTATTTCCCAAATCTCTAGAACACTGAATAGTGAGAAATGCTAATAGACTTGGAGCACAAAGTGCTGGAGTTCAGCGACAATATTTATAACCCAGACTGTAACACAGAAGCTCATTCAAGCAGCTTATATGGGAGGCGTGCACTTGTATCTTCCATTCGATGCTTGATAACTGTCTAATGAGTTCTGGATTTCTGTTTTGATTTTCCAGATGACTACCTTCAGATCTTTATATACTTCAAGGTCAAGCTGGAACTGCAAGAAATTCTAACTGGAATGAATAATCCTATAGTGAGACTAAGACATTAGGCAGGCAAAAGGCAAATGTCAATGGTTTTCTTTTTATGCACTTGTTTTTGTTTATTTCTTTTTGCTTTTTTGAGAGACGGTCTCACTGTGTCACATAGTCTGGCCTTGAATTCACAATGCAGGCCAGGCTGGCCTCGGACTCACAGCGATCCTCCTGTGCCACAGCCTCCTAAGTGCTGGGGTCACGGGCTCCAATTATCAGTATTTTAAAACAAAAGATGGAACTGTAGTTATGAGGTATGGAAAAACCTTTTCATCTAAATATGAAGGATTACATTTTTGCTTTGACAGAAAAAATACTGACATTTTATCAAATGGTCTCCTCTATTAGTTTCCTAATCAAGCAACTACAATTCATTCTGAGTTCTGGGAGAAGCAAAGAGTTTATTTTGCAGGTGAGAAGTAGTAACCAGTCACAACTATGAGAACCCCAATCAGAGAAACCCGCTTTCCTGTTAACATCTGTGTAACTCTTGGGTAACACCTGAGGAACCTTTTTTCCCTATTAAAATGATTCACTGATAAAAGAATGCAATGAAAAAAAAAAAATGTAACGTATTTGCCTTTCCTTAGGTTATATGTTTTGTTCTTCTTGAAGATAATATATACTTATTAAATTGTGCTATAAACAGCTTGTATAAAATTTGTTATATTGACATTATTTTGGAAGGAAACAACTTCTTAATTTCTATTTATATCTGATTCTAAGTTATATTTTAAAACCCAGGAACTCTATATAATTTTTTACCTTATTACATCAAGACTTTGATTATTTTTGCCAAAGTAAAAATAAATAAAAATTGTTCATAATTTACCTGTTATAATATCGGCCTCCCATCATAAACTGATTGTTTGGTGTTGGACATATTTTAAATCGCTGAATATTTTCATTGGTCCGAAAATAAAGTGAATAGTCACCAGGCGTATTATCTGAGGGCCTCACAAGAAAACTGCAGACTTGCCCAACTGTAAAAAATTAAACTGTTAGTTTTCTTCCCAAAGTATCAAATTTAAAATAGATGTTAAGTAATATAAAGTACAAAGTCATAAACATAGAAGTTTCACTGGGAACACTTCTTAAAGACTTTTTGTGATTTTCCTTGTGATTCACACCACCTACTTGCTCATCTACTCTACCATCTTTATTTCAAAGAAACACACAACAGAAATTTTGCGGCAGTAACTTCTGGCCTAGAATGTCTGTGTGCACCACAGCTTGCAGAGAATAACCTAACCACAGGTAGAACAGAAGCTAAAACTGTTATATTCTGTTTGTAAATCCACTCAAAAGGAAAATTCTAACAAAGCTACATAAACTTTGCCTACGAATAGTCTATGTTTCATCAGTATTTCTAATTAGTAACTAAAATGACTGTGACCAAAGAGAATGGTATATAGAGGTAGGTTCAAAACAACTGAAAGATTTGAGGACAATATTAAAATCAGTATACACACACTATATTCAACTGGTATCATCTTGAAGAAAGACATGTAATAGAAACTTACAATACATTAAGTATTTTCAAATTACTTTTAGACAAGACTTTCTGATTTCTTTAACTAGTAATGACTTAATACTGAAATGCTTTGTCTTTTTTCTAAGTCCTAATGACACAGAGAAGATTAGGAATTGACTGGGGAGGAGCAATGAACACTGAATACCAAGCGTATTTCTCACAACTTTTTTTTTTTTTTTTTTTTTGGTTTTTCTCCGGTACCAGGAACCGAACTCACGACCTTGCGCTTGCCAGGCAGGCGCTTCTGCCACTGAGCTAAATCCCCAGCCCTCTCACAACTTATTAATGGTCCAATCATATGGCCACAGCATTTGCTACTGCGTAACTTCATGTGCAGTACAAAAAAGTAAAACATTTTAAACTGAATATTCAAGGCTTAAATACGTAAGTAAACTGACTATATAATGTAACAATAGGCTAAAATGATAGTGTCAAATCCTGGTAAGAATCCAGGGTACTCTCTACATTTCTTCTAAAATATGACAGAAAGTATTGTACATTCAAAATTATATATGCAAGTGTTATGTGTACTTTCCAGGCAAGAAAATTGCACCTGATTCTGAAAAGAGCACAGAAATATAAACTACTGTTAAGAAATGAAAGCTTGGCTGCTTTTCATGTTTACACACCTAAAACAAGAATGGGTGCATCAAGTACTTGGCAGTACAAGACCCAATATAAACTTAATTATAAATTCACTAAAATTAATATTGTTGGTCCCACCTTGAAAGCTGATGGCTTATTGCTATGGTTTAGCGTTTGGTTACTATTACTTGTCATGTAGCGATATTATGCTTACATCTTTCAAAAAAGCAAAGTATTAATCTAAAATGCAAATCTATATGGCTTAAACCAATAATTCAGATCACATGTTTAATAATCATCAATTTTTTCATTATGAGAATCTCATTTATGAAATACATAAACTATCCAACAATTTTTAAAGAATAAAACTTCTAAATAACACATTATGGATTAAATCTGTATTAGTTCAGTGTTATATATTTAGTTAGAACAGGATGATTTTCATTTTATATAATAAACCCAAGATATAAATCAGTTTTTATTCTTCATTTCCCTATAAACCCAAGTGTTAGGAAACATTAAATTAATACATTTTACACAAGGCTGAAGTATGTAATTCCACAAGTGTGTAAGATAAATACAAGAACATTTGTTTTTTGTAGTTCAATAGCAAAAGAATAACAACAGCCAACAGCCAATGGGGACCTGGTAAATTATGGTATTTGTAAATTAGAAAGCTTAGGGCCTTTAAGAAGAATAATGGAAATTTATACTGGCACATACCAAATGATTTCCCAAGATATTTCCTAACATGAAAAAAGTATGTTACATGTTTCTATGAGCATATGCACATGTAAGGGAAAAGAGGAGAGATACATACAGACACAGAAAACTTCTAGGAAAAGAAACTGTCATCAGGTATTATATCTGGGGACAGGACAGGAATAGAGAATGGGGTACAAGAAAAACATACTTTCTGGAATTTTGTGCTACCATGTATGTTTTTGATAAAACCTCGAGTTTCTCAACCCTGGGCAGAATTATAATATGCATAAACATTAATTGGTTGCTGAAGGTAAATACAGTACATGAAAAATGGTGACTTATTTTTTTATTCTTTTTAAGTACAGACATTTTTAAGAAGACAAGTAAATATAAAAAGTACCTGTCATTAGTAAAGTATAAGCTTCTTGTTTGGAAATCTTCCCATGGAACCATCTTAAAAAGAGAACAAATTATATATTTAAATGAAAATTCCTTTATGCTGCTGTCATATGATCAAAACTAAACCACCACCTTAATTGTAATTCAACTGACATATGAAATAAATAAAATGCAGCTGATCTAAGTATTTCATTCCTATTACATTTATGTTACTTTGCAAGAACATATTATGCTTATTTTCAACACGTAGAAGAACTACAGGCTACCAAATAAAAACCACTATTTTCATATTTGTTACCAATATAAAAATAACACTGACTTTAATCTTGGTGATATCTAATTGTTATATGCTTCACTGTTACCTCTTCTTTCTTTTGGGGAGATGAGAAGTAAAAGGGGTAGTACAGGCAGAGCCCCCTCTAAAATTGTGTTCCCAAAAAACAGTATTTTTCTCCTATCTCTCTCAAGTTGAGTTTGCTTATATAATACGGTCTCTCTTCCAATATAATCAAACTGTTGATGCATACTTTATTAAAAGCCAGCAAATAACACTGAGGGATGAGAACAAGTGGATACTAACATTAAGAACTAAAAGGAAAAAAAAAATAAAAGAAAAAAATAATATTCCTAATTCTGTTGGCGCTAACAGCTTATTAAACCTTTATATTCTGTATTCTAAAATTAAGCCTTTACAAATGATATATGGCATTATATTCATGACACCTAACATTATAAAAACTCAATTATTCAAACGTTACCCTGATATAAAATGACATCTGTCTAAAAAATTTACTACTACTTATTAAAGTACTTAAACTCTCTTGCTTGTCCAAGGCATATTACTTATCTTGCTAATTAACATGTTTTAAAGCCAGGCTAACAATTCCAAATGCTTCTTTACCACTTTGCTACATCTTCTTAGGGTCTACCATTATCTGTAATAATTAAGCACAAACTGCAAAGTATGTAAGATTAAACTAAGTGCTCTAAACCTAATGTTACAAGTTTAGAGGTTGCTCACATTGCTTTAAAATATCCATGCTATTACTGGTGAAAGTATGAAAATACAACTAAACTTTTAGCTTTTCACTTGAATTCTCTTTTTAACAATATTCCAATCATTAACTCACTAACTCAGATTTCCTAGTGTTCCCAGTACCAATTATGAATAAGGAAAAGTAACCATACAAGCAGTGCAGGCTGCCTTAACAGGCAGTAAGGTTCCACACAGCACGCAAATACAGGCTAAATGATCCCTTACTACAAATGCTAGGGCAGAATTTTTATATTCTGAGTAAGAGGTGACAAGATGACCTCCAAGGGCAACCGTATTTTTTTCAAATATGCCAAAATGGCAAAAATGTCACTGTCTCTAAAATGGGTTAAAGATTAATAAGATTCTTAGTATAAGCTAGCCTATAGCTAAAGTAGCAGTATTATTTTCTGAAGTTACTCCTATATAAAATTTACATAATCCACAGACATGCATAGATGAGTTACAGAAGAAAAAGAAAAAAAGATAAGTTTTGCCCCATCTGTTTAGGGAAAAAAAAAACAAAAAAACAAAAAAACAAAAAAAAAAAAACACTAGTCATGTATAGCTAGAAAACCAGTATAGGCAGAAAATACAGAAAGGAGTGTTCCAAGTATGTGTGAGAATATTGTGGAAATAACAAAGAAGACTACCAATGCTTTAAAGTATACAGAGAAAACAATGAAAAAATAATATTTACTGAATGATTTATCACATATACAATTTATCACACAGTAAATAATGGTAAGTGAATGAATAAATGGAGGAGAACCCTGGTCTAAGAAGCATCTTAACCAAAGAGAAAAAAGGGGGATGATGACCAGTATTATGTATCTGAAGACCTACAGACTGCAGCATATAAAACTAGCAATGAGAAATAAGATGGGTAGGAAAGGACACAAGTGTCAAATCATACATGGACTTTTCAGGCTCAGCCACATAAACATGATGAAGAACCATTTAAAGATTTTAGGTGGGAAAGTGGTACCATATGAACTATGCTTTTCAAAGAGCATTCTGGTTACAGGAAGAGAGAATGTGAGACTAAAGACGGGGAGCTCAACGTGAAGGTCACTGCTGCGTTAGGCACCAGTAAGAAGTGAAAGCGCCTGAAATGGAATGCAGTCACCTGACAATCGAGAAGAAGACACACGCCTAAAAAACCCGTTAGGAGACAGAGTCACAGAACTTGGCATCTCTGTCACACAAATGTCCTACCTGCTTACTCACAAAAGGAACTCACTGATGTGCCTGAGGGTTCTTTAAGAATTGAAGACACTTCATCCTCATGGTCTCTGCCCAAAACAAACCAACAATGCAAACCTAGCTTATGCTACACAGCAAAGGAGTAAGAAATCAGAGTGAGGAAAAGGAGAGACTGACAAGGTATTAAATAAGGAAAGACTCTCCAGTGAACGTGACCTTTAAACTTCAAACTGGCATCTGACCTCAACATTTAAAAGTACATCTGTAGTATTATCTGAAATAGGGATTAAAATGTAGATTGATAATTTGTCTTAAATTCAGGAAGATTTCATAATAGTAAACAGACGTTCTTTGTGACTAGACTGAAAAGGCAAAAATTTTCTAGTTTTCTATTTCCCGCAGCCTTTCCTAACTCCAAGAGTGAGCATCGGCTGCCACTTCTCACCGCTCCTACACGGCTGATCTCTGAGCAGAAGGAGACAGCTCTGTGCACCTAAGGGTCTGCTGAGAAGGAAAATAACGAACATCAACATTCTGTAACAACGAATCAACTTCATTTGCTTACGTTTTCTGACAGTTCAAACATTAATCAGAATTTATAAATCCTGATATTGTAAGGATCAACAGGGTTTAAGTCTCACTGACGGAGTCTCCAGCAAGTACAGAGAATAAGAAAAATGAACTCAGACAATATAGACTCTTCTTAAGGAAGAGCAGAGAACTAAGTAAGGTGACAGGAAACAGAACTTCTGTTTAATGTGTGGTGTCGAAAGGACAGAAAACAGAAAAAGAACATTTGAGGTAAGCCTTATCCTCCGTCCATAAATGCTAACAGGGCCGTTAAGGAAAAGTGTTCTATTCAAAATACATGACATGAACAGTCAGTAAAATAATCTAAGTAAGGAAGAACTGGGATTGACAGTTAAGATCTTTTACAGGAAACTCATACCTATAAAACCAGTCTTAAAAGATTATTAAAAGAAATACCTTGATGAATCTTATTAAAACTGTGAAAAACTATGATCCTGGGGTATATTTTTTAGATGAAAACAAAAATGAAGCAAAAAACCTGAGCTAAAAAGTCCTAAAAAATACAACCAAGTAAACAAGAAATACTATGACTAATCAATAAGAAAATAAAGAAACACATGATTCCTCACTAATGATGATACTCACTAATGTTAATATGTAATATTTACCAGAAAGTCTTAGTTTGGTGATATGTAAGTGGAATACAGGTATAAGACACTATTTATTTAAAAAAGACTATATTGCTAAGTCCTTAAGAAAATAGATATACATCAACTCTCTAAGTCAAACAGAAATTTATAAGCCAGTCCTAAAGTATTATGAAGTATGTTTTGGACAGCTTCAATCAGTAGTTCACAATATATTTCTTTCTTTCCTTTTGATACTTAACACAAACTCACATTTTGCCTTCATGTGGATCTTCTTCCCGGCCCTAAAGGGAAGACATTAAGACAGTTTTTTACATAAGTAACTATTAAAACTATTAGAAATTGTAGTAAAATTCATAAAAATATCTTCAAACACAACTTCACAATGCCCTTCACAATTATATGTATATGAAAAGATGTTTCTCTTCAAGGACTCCCTCCGCAACTCTGCACGCTCCTCTCACGTTGGTGGCGCGAGTCTAGTTCAGGCCTTTGCAGTGTTCACGCTTTTACGTTAGCCCAGCTGCGGCACAGCTCCCTCTGTGCCCCTCCCCTTCACAGCATCAGAGCCCACCACGCTCAACTACAGCTGTGTCCAGCACTACAGAAAAACCAAACCCCATAAACTCACTTACCCAACCAGCCTTGAATACCTCTCTGCTGCCCCAGAGTCCTCACTCTGCAGCGGAAGTCCTTCACCACTGGACGCAAGTATGTCTTTCCTGCCCCACACTGCCTGTTCTCGAGGCGCCCACACACTAACCCACTCGGCAGTCTAGGTTATCTCATGGTAGAGCTTGTTTCTTGTCACTACAGTTCCTACAATGTCCTTTCCGCTCTACTAATCTGTTACATAAGGCCTAATCCATGTTTCCAATGACACCTCAAGTGAGACATTCTGAGCCCCTAAAAGTATTAGCTTTTGCTTTGAATATAAAAGACATCCTCACTTTATCATCCTTTGAATTTTACCTAACTTTATACTATATTCCAGTCTTTTACGATATACTCACATTATTCATTCCACAACAAAGGCAAAGGCTATCAGCACTTTAAAGTCTAAGCCACTCTTTGTTAATTACCACTGACTACCACCGTAACTCTGACACAAGGCTAGGTACATACTTTTCACTGAACTTCCACCAAAATGTGCTTAGTACAGTACTATGGATTTACTTCCCGCCATTTAGTTATCGCTCAGTGAATCAGACTAAAATCACACCACTAGATAAATGCCTGTTACACCCAAGGCGGCATACTAAAAGTAACTATACACATCGATAGCACTATCACTGTCCTGTAGGAGGAGGTTATGTAATACATTAATTGTACACAGTGTAATGAAAGGTAGAATTAAGGAAAGGCTATGGAAACACAGGGGTTGGAAACACTTTAGCCTAAAAGAATCTAAAAAGGTTTAAAATCTGTGCAAGAGGTGACATCCATTTGTTTTTAAAACAGGAATTCATTATGCAGTTCAGGCTGGCCTTGAGCTCATTCTGTAGCCCAGGCTAGCCTCAAACTCATGGCTATCCTCCTGCCTCAGCCACCCGAGTGCTGGGATTACAGACCTGCACCACCACAACTGGCCCAGGTGACACCTGAATGGAGCTGATAATGACAGTTGAATTTCACAAGACATCTAACAGGGCAGGAGTGTCAGGACCGGAGAAACATCTGCTGCAGGCCCAATAATGCCAGACACTGGCTTGGCAGTGGGGACATACTATTCTGTGTGAGAACTAAATTCCCCGCCCAGAGCACACATTCAGTTAAAGCAAGTAAAGCTTGGAGAAGAGTAATTAGAACTATCTGAGAGGAATATTCCTTAAATCCGGTAACTAAACACACACCTGAAGCATCTTCACTATCTTGATGATCCCAAGTAGCTTTTCAACCCACAAGGAATGCACTACTAACGAAGCCCACTATTTCAAGTGTGACGAAACCCACCCTGCGTAACTACGTCACACTGTCCACTCACTCTGAGTTGTTAACTTTTATTTTTCATTCCTTGTACAGTATTTACATTAGCTAACATCCCTTTATCCTCAACTGGACTATTATTTACTGATTTGCAGCAGCCGGTGGCTATCTTTCACGTATCCTTATAAAAGTTTATCTTGTTCAGTTTGATCCAGAATTCTAAGAGCTCAAGTTCAACTATACTTGAATTCCTTTAAATCATCAGGACAGGGAGGAGGGTGACATAGCAGAGAGAGAAACCCACCATAAAAATTTTAACCACAAAATTCTGTGGGACAGGCAACACAGTAAGATGCTTGAGCATGAGGACTTCTCGCCTATGTGGAATAAGTGCCCCTCCTACTGTTGGATAAAGAACACTACTCTAGGATTATTAAGGCATGCTAAGTGAGTACTGTGTGACTACAAGAGCCGAGTGTATCATAACATTTCCTTGACTCCTCCTACCTTTCCTCAACATCAAAACTTTGATTCTGTGAATCAAAACACCCTTGCCAAGAATAGGCAGATAACAGAATTGACAGCAATAAAATTATATTTTCTACTATATTTCTGGTGCCACAATCAAAGCACAGGTTTTAAAATATTACCAGACCCATGACGTAATTTAAAAACAAGAGCTTTGACGGTCATAAAATAGCACAGAAAGCCACTACATACCACTAGACAAAAGAAAGGGGAGGGTGAATTCCCAAGTTTAATGTACTTGAGTGGTACTGAGGATAGCCTGTGCAGTGTACATACCGAGTGAATGCTGACCTGCTATCTAAATACGCACACACATGACAATTTCCCCCGTGTGCTAAGGTGACTACTAACGTATTAGGTGGTGGTAACAAAACAAAGGGAATATTCAAAATGTAGAACCATGGGATAATATCTGTGTAATAGAAGTGAATTTTTTCAGGTTACTGGAAAATTATGCATTTTTTTGGAAAACAAAGAATGTGACATCAAATGTACAAACATTTGACATTCTACGATTATTCACACATAATTTCACTTATGAGAAAGTCTAAGAGGGCAAAAAAGGATTAAAAGAAGCACAAATTTTAAGACGAAGTTAGGAAAGCTTTCTGAAAGTTGATAGCTACATATTCTAACATGCTAGCTTGTCTGTTTTTAAAAATAAATACAATTTTAATGAAAAAAATCCTTGTGCTTATAAATTAAGTATTTTTCATAAAAGAAACTTCTTCATAACTAGTTACCCATATCATGGACAAGTTCCAAATCTAAAAAAAAAAAAAAAAACTGGAATTTAAAATTCAGAAGGAAAAAAATAAAACTTACCACCTCTTCTACGAGGTCTTCAACAATAAGGCCTTGTTCATCTGTCCTTAGATTTGTAACCCACATCCATCCATCTTCTAATTCATTATGAACAATGAACATATCTCCTTTTAGGAAACTACAAGAGCAATTATGAAGTTACTAGAATTAAAAATGTTAAACATGGAAACTTAAACAGTCAGCCACAACATATGAATAATACGATATTGGTAAAACACATGGGATCATATCAAATGCCTAATTGTTGTCCTGTTTCTGGCATTATCTATGACAACAGAGACCTTTCATAGGCTGAATCTTAATTCTTCATTGGTAAAATGGGTTTGATATGGGTACCTGTGTCATCTACACTGCTAGGTTATTATTAGATATAAATCAGAATTTCTGCATAGAGTAATTACATACGTATTGAAACTTTTAAGGAACAACTCTCAAGGAAACTGAATTGAAAAATTTTAACATTCAGTGTCACAAAGCTTTCAAATGTAAGTTAAATGTAAAATAAAAACAAATACGTTATATGTATATAAGATATAGTTCATTTTGAAAAGTCTGCTTTGGATAAGCATTATCAACTTTATTGTGTAGACACTATGTCAGTTAACATTTTCCTCACAAAAATACCAGGGATATTTAATTTACTCAACAAGTACAGCATTCTTTCTCTGAAGGTGGTGCCAGTGTGTGTATGACTAGAAAACACCATTTCTTTTTCAGTCTCAGAGCAGGAGGGTGCATACACAATTGAGTTTCCTCTCAATGCTACCTAGATGTTTTAATCTCCACATCATCATGGGAGCAACAAGTTGCTGACACATGACACCAATATAAAATCATCAGTAATTTCTTAGTTCTCCTTTTAGGCTTGAAGAAATGCCTTTGCACACTGGCAGGTCCCAGATTGGTCGGGTATCACCACTGACCCGATACCCATAACCCTATCTGTCACGTATTTTTCAGTAATTTTTCCTTTAGGCTTACTATTCACAAAGTTCTAGTAAGTCTTTTCTTATATACTGGAAAGCTGTGTTTTCTCTAGAGCATCTCAAACTTCACTGTTTCTTGGACACGTTTCAAAAAATAAAATTTGTGCACAACACTTTTCTCTGTATTTGAAACACCACAGGATATTACATCCTGTCTTGGTTCTACAACTCTTCTTAGTGGTGGCTAACATCTCCCTAGCTGAACAGCAGCAGACACTCCCACCTAACGACATAAATTACTCCTTCCTAGAACCACGGGAGCGCGCCCACTAAGGAGCAACCCAGGGGCTGGGACTGCAGCCCCGCAGTAGAGAGCTTGCCTTGCATGAGGCCCTGGGCTCAAACCCACACCACACTCGCACACTAACAAAGAAATCATCACGATGTATGGAAAGTGGGTGTGTACGTACAGGAACTAAAATAGAAATAAAAAGGGGTGCATTTCATTTCTTGATCAAAAGTGGCCAACAGTTTTGCTTTTCTTGTTTTTTAATTTCATGTTTTTATTGCTATACCAACTCTTTATGGCACAGAAAAACAAAAAATTACATAGAAAGCTTATCAGTACAAACAATGTAAAACTTATTTTCCCACAAGAGTCTAAAATGTTTCAACTCATTCATCTTCGGATGTGTTTGCTTTAACAATAAACTCACGGGAGTGAATAGGGCCAAGTCTAAAACTATGGCTCATGACTTTATGCACATGAATAGTGCAGCTAAATGAACACCTGAGCATTCTGACTCTTCTTTAAATCCCCATCTTCCTAGTTCAGGAGTTCCCAACTGGGAGTGGGGAGAGGTTAGGGTGCCTTTATAGTCTTAAATATTGGTATCATAAACACCTTTTACTGTATGGATTATAGCTACTATTGATATTTATCACACAGAACCTAAAGCAAAAATGTTTTTATATCTTTACTGATTCATTTATATCTCATTACATAAAGCAGATCAAAAATAATTATAACTTTTACAGGTTTAGTAATGCTATTTTTGTTTTAAATTTTTCAAATCTCTTACATGTCTGCTAAAAGGAAAACTTAGAGATATTCATGTGTTTCTACGTTCATTTTATTACTATATTTTTTTTTTTTTTGCTCTAGGTATATGATGAAAACCTGGCTTCAAACAAATACGCACTTGTGAAAGGGATGAACATATTAATAGCCTTTTCAAATAATTATAGTCTTCTGTTATACTATATCAAAAAGTCAACAGAGCTGGTACCTTCTTGGAGGTTAGTTATACTAAGGAATCTAAAACTATGTATCAAGGAACTTCCTATATGTATTCCAATAACATCCACTGGTCTACTTTGCATTTTAAATCTTCTACCCAGGCATAATTTTGTAGCATTGATCATTTAGAAAATATTAGGTCACTGAGTTATGCAGATCTTCTAGTTGTTGACACATCAATATATACTACCAACATATCTCATTCTTCACTGTCATCACTAAGCACATTAGAGAGGTCATTATTTGTGAGACTCAAGCTCTTGATGACCACTAACAGAGGGTTCCGACAATTCTAGTTTTTCTTGCTCAAAAGCTCAAATTTTGTTTTTGGCAATAAATATGGTAGTTATTTTCATGGAAATAACAGTTTCACTTTGTTACATTTCAAAAAGAACATCAAAACACTGGAGTCTATCCATCTTTCACATAAAAATGGTGTGCACGAAAGCAATAGCAAGTTACCTCTCAACTCACTGCTTTTTCTCAAGACACTGAATTCCCATACAAAGCACAAGTGTTTTATATGTATTTCCTCTTTTATTACAAACAATATTAGGTTGATATTTAAGAATATTTTAGTGCCTTTTCAAGAACATGAAATGAGACTATGTTTGACTAATTACAAGTGGGTTACAATGAAGGATATGGTACACTTACGTCACCGCACTGCCATGACTTCTACAGCACCAGATTTACCAGGGAAGGCTTTCCCACTCTCATCACACAAGTCACAGTGAAAAAGGCCAATGATGTCTTAGTATAATTATGAAAATAAATTTGATCCCATGGAGTGTGATGGTTAATTCATGTGTCAAACTGATTGGCCAGCATATCTAGATTAAGCTTTATTTCTGCATTGTGTGGGAGGGTGTTGCTGCAGAAATTAATCTGCAACTCAGTGGATGGCCCTATAGAATCCAACACTCCTGCCTCAATGTGGGAGGTTATCATCCAATCCTGTGAGTTTCTAAATAGAACACAAGGTGGGAGAAGCATTCTCCCTTTTCTTTCTTTCTCATTGGTTGATCTGGTACATTTTGTCTCATCTTTCTTTCCTGCCCTCAGATTGAATTTCCTTCACAGTTTTTCAGGCATTTGAAATTACACAACTCGCTTTCCTAGGTCTCCAGCTAGCAGATGGTAGAGCACAGAACTTCTCAGTCTCCTCAGTGGTGAATATATCTCCTCCTCTAGAGAACCTCAACTCAAAAACCCTCTGAATGGGTCTCAAGGAGCCCCAGGTACCTGGGTCACACTGTGAGAACTGCTGTCTTAGAGGACTCCACTGGGAATTTACAAATTATCTAAAACTTCTCAATTTGTACTTCCACACTGTTTTCCTTTATAAATTATATTTATTTTCTCTATTTTGTTTTGCCTTTCCACCAAAGATCACAAATAAAGGTGTGTCAAAAAATTAAATGAGAAACTATCATCTTGAAAACAATCATATAAAAATGGAATTACTATTTTGTAATTCAGATTCTCGAATCTTTGTTTTTATTACTGTATTTCCAAAAATTATGTAATTATTCACAGATACCCTTAACATTTTACAGATGACGGTTTTTTTAAAAAAGTTAAACAGCTTACAGAAAGGCAATGTTACTTATCAAATTACATAAAGGACTGAATTATATACAAATAATAAAACAAAAAAAATCTCATGTTCTATAGTTCTGTAATATACTGTTCTCTGCTTTAAAGCAGTTTCACTATATAGCCAAGGCAATCTTTCCTGCCTCAGTCTCCCAAGCACTAGGATTACAGACATGTGCCTCCATGTCTGGGGAGTCCATAACTTTCTCTACTTGAAAAATATTCACCTATTATGTAAAACAGAAGCTTGGTTATCATTTCAGTTGAGTCATAAATGTTATGCAGTAATAAATACTAACGTAAGAGTACAAATTATAATAGATCGCTCTTTACCATGTCAGAGATAGTGTCCTGTCACTGTCACCGTGCTCACCCTGACCCAAATCTTCAATTCTGAACGAAAAACCCAACCCAGGAGTGTGGAACAACTGACCCGATTAGGAAAGGCACGTTTACTTTGCCATAGTCTACTTCCCCAAATTCCAAAATTTTCCTAGGCCAAGAACAATAAATCTTCAATATCAAGGTCACACGAGAAATATTATAAAATACCTTATTTCATCAGTGTCTGGTACTTTTGTATAAGGTAAAATAGCTCGTACACGTCTTCTATCTTCTACTGGCTAAAAACAATGAAGAAAAAGGCCTTTTTGTTCAAAGTCAAAAAAAAGTATGTCCACACAAAGGTAAAGCAAACACAAACAAAAAACAGCCACACTACACAAACTTAGGAGCATTCATTTTTTCTGCTACTGTTACTACTCAGAGCTTAGAAATCTTTAATGCTCATGTTTTTATGTTTTTATAAAATTATTTTCAGCAGCTGGGCATGGTGCACACACCTGTAATCCCAGCACTCAGGAGGCTGAGGCAGGAGGATTGTTGTGAGTTCAAGATCAGCTTGGGCTACAAAGTGAGCTCAAGGCCAGCCTGAGCTGCATAGCAAGACCCTGTCTCAAAAAAACAATAATTAATTAATTAACTAATTTTTAAGAATTTATTTTTGAAGTATAGTGGGTATCTTTTTATTCAACTTCTGTGGTAATTTCACGATTAGCACCATGAAATCAGTAATTATTTCTTATGCATTCAAAAATACGTTAGGCTATAAACACACAGAATTATTTAAAATATAGACTATTATAGAAAAACCTTTTTTAAAAGAACTTTTCAATTTTGTTCTGACATTAGAACCAGAATTAAAATTTAACATAAGATATATTTATTCAAATATAATAGTGATCGTAAGAAACTGAACAGAAGCAAAATCCATTACAAAAGTGAAATAAAGTTTTCAGACAGTTCATTTCAATTTTACTTGCCTCTGGTGGTGCAACGGGATAAAGTAGTTTTTCTCCTTTAAGCAAACAAGAAACATGACTGTAATAACCTATCAGATCTGACAGTGAAGAGAAACGTCTTCCACCAATGTAGTAATCTCCACACATAGCAATAATCCTATGGAAAAGAAGAAAATGCAGTACAATGAAATCTTTACAGCCCATTTTTCTTCCTTGCCGTACTGGTGACTAAATCTAAACCCTTGTGCATGGTGGAGAAGCACTCTACCACTGAGTTCTCTCCCCAGCCCTTAGAGCTGATTTTAAAAAACAAGTTTTATAAGGAAATTATATATTTTTAAATTTCATGTATTTTCCCTTTTACATACATCTCTGTGCATTAAAAAAAAGTCACTTTATCATGGACCAATTACTACAGGTTACTTCTTTTTAAGTAAACATAAATATGTATATATAATGCATTTAACATGAAATACATATCAAACTTGGAGGCCTCCATTATAAATTCAAATATTTAAAAATTCATCCTTAGATACCTCACTCATCCTCTATTCTTAAAAGTAAGTCAGAAATTTTAGTTACAATGTCAAATGTTAAATTTTGGTATTATTAAATTGCATGTGAAACTATACTTCATATAAATACGTAAGAAGTATGACAGCATTCTCAAAGCTTATTTTAAAATCTAAAAAAGGTATTCATTTTTTCTAAATAAAACTTCAATTTCTCCCATCAAATGAAATTATATATAGATACAGATATAGATGTAGATATAGATATATATAGACATAGATTAGATAGATTCTGATGCCCACACTTCAAAATTAGTATGTCTCTTTCACTGAGATGAATGTCTGCAAAGTTGCAAAATGGCAACTGTACAATGAACAATGGGCATAAATCCTGATTTTTAAAGTACTTCCTATATTTCTGCTACTTCATAGACTATTTGTATTTCTTTATACATTGAAAGTGACAAATACATTTGCAGTTTAGCACAGTAATGACCAATAATATTTATAGCAAAAAAGGTAAGCATCTCAACAATATGTACTCTAAATAACTGACTACATCATCTAACTGAATCAATATTTTTCTGTGTTATTCAAATGTCACCAAATCATAGGCTTTTGTGAAAGCAGGTATGTTTATCAATACTGCATCAAGATAGCTATACCGTGTGACCCCCTAATAGGAAAGAAGACTTACCTAAAGTGGCTGACAACACTTGTCTGGCTAAGAAACGAAAGTACGAAGGATCCTGGCCTCCGGTCACTCTCTCTTATAAGGTAGCTGCCAGACTTTCCTGCTTGCCGAAGGCGTTCTTCTGCTATAGTTCTATCAAGTTTTCCATGATACCACCTAGGGGAAAAAAGACATGAGATTAGGATGAAAACAGCAACCATAAAATTACTGTGTTCACTGAAAAAATACTTTTAGAAGTTTTAAATACCTACAAGTAATTCAAACATACATTTTTACTTTGAATCAGTTATTACAAGTTATTTTAACTCAGATATTTTTAACTCTTCTCTATCTAAAAATATTCATTTACTCAGTTTTTAATTTTGTCTATAAACTTGGGCTCAATCACCTCATATAAGATCCTCCTTTAATTCTACACATCTCTCTACCTCCAGGATTATCTGCTCGAAATACACTTCTTGCAATCAAATTCTTACTTAAAAGAATAAGATGGGTAAATGGAAAAGAGTAATAAATATATAAGCATTCTATATATCTTATCATAATTCTGTCATAAACACTACAAGAAGGCACATGGAGCTTTTGAGAAAGCAAAACATTTTATTCCATTTCAGTGTTTGTGCTCTGTGATAGGAAAACCCGAATGACACTGCCTAAAAGGCTGCTATTCTCACTTCCTACTTCAACATGAAGCTGATTTCTCCCTTTGATTCTTAGACGATTTCCTCTATAACCATCGGCTGAACTCAGCTTCTCTAGTGCATTTCACAAACATGCAGAGCGCACACAGCACCTCTGTCTTCTAAGCTATAATGCGCCTGAATGACTGCTTCGACTCTAGCATCATCCATGCTTTCAATTCATGCCCAAAGAGTCGCATGGACTCCAACATACAGACTGAAGTTATCAGATGGCACGTTAAACAAACCCCTAGAATCATAGTTATAAGGTGTTCTTACATGTCTAGTACTCTAGCCAAACCTATCCTTACATACTGTAGTCTAACTTGAGCTGCTCAGAGGAAAACTGGAAATACAAGAAGCAAATTGTAAAATTATTATACCACTATGACTATTTTTATAAACTTCTACAATGGAAGCTTATTATTCTTGACCCCTTATTTTATTTTATTTTATTTTATTTTATTTTATTTTATTTCATGACCCTGGGAACTGAACTCGGGACTTATACATGTTGGACAAGTACCTTACTACCTAATCAGACCTTTGTTATTTTGAGATAGGGCCTAGCTAAGCTGTCCAGGCTGACCTCAAATTCACAATCCTCCTGCCTTAGCCTCTGAAGTAGATGGATTAGAGGCATGCACTACCACCCTCAACTCAGCTTATACTCTTCAAAGTAAGATAAAAGCACAAAAACTTTTGAAATCATCTCAAAAGAATTATCTTTAGTTTTCTTCTAACTACCAGCCTATTTATTTATTTAGAGGTCTGTGCAAAGACTGAAAATAAAATTATAAGAAGCTTAATCATATCAGTAAACTGTTAGCATTAGAGGAAGAGGGAAGGTCAGTTCCTCTGAAATCCTTACTATAGTCTTACTATCCCTCATTACCTCCTAAGAAGACTAATACTGAACTTGACTTAGAAGACTTCAGGTTTGTCTTTACTCTCAACGGCGGTGGCAAAGCTACGGCACTTGTGCCACGGCTGGCTGCTTGTTATCACTGAAAGTTCCAAAAGGTTCACCACCACTGATTTAAAAGGAAACAGACTAGGTATTACTAATGGTCCCTTGAAGAGCTCAAATTTAATGGCATATAAAAATAAAATTTTGAAATTTCAGGCTAGAAATTTTGCTGTAAAAATAGAAAACACCCACTGAATACTAAACTGTACTACATTATTACCTAAAGCAGTTAAAATATCCAGCAGATTTATGACAAAACTAAGGAAAATTTTAGCCTCTATTTTTTTTACTTATTACGTTAGTTTTCTACTATTTCAGGCAAAATAAGATTAAAAGATTTTATTTGATTTCCATTTTGTAAACTTATGATCCACAAACTCATGAGGCACTATACAATTACTATTTTGTAATAAGTATGTGTTTCTTTTTTTTTGGTTTTTTTCTCCGGTACCGGGAACCGAACTCACGACCTTGCGCTTGCCAGGCAGGTGCTTTTGCCGCTGAGCTAAATCCCCAGCCCTGTAATAAGTATGTGATTAAAGACCCTTTTGATAGATAAAAGATAAATTTATTTATGGCTTTTAGTTCATCTATCTACATATGTTAGAATTTTAGTATGGTAATCAATTCAAAATAGACATTAATCTAAATCTATTCCATGAATATCAGTGATTCCCTTTCAGAAACATCATACATGTAATGCAAAATATGTCAATTCTAGATTATTACTATAACTGCATTTAAATTATCCAACAGTTTATTGACATATATGTAGTTAATCTGTTCCTCAAAACGTTTTGTGGAAAATTGTATGGTCTTAACTCAGAATTTCTTGAATTATCCTTATTGTTTACTTCAAATTATGGTGAATTATAGTAACAAAAGTATTTTAAATGCTTCTGTCTAGGTGCTTTAAAGTTATTTTTAAAGCAGAAAAAAGCACTGTAATTAAATTGACACACGAAATCTTTACCTCACTTAAATAAAAAAATCAGGAAAATAATTAGCATTATCCTAGATATAAATAATTTCACTAAAATTACACATAGCATTATGCAGGTAATGGTGTGTTGATTTGATTGAGATACTTAACACATCTATAGAACCCAAGTACATTTCTACACTCATTAAAAACCAGTCCTTGGTTCTATTCAATACCAATGTTTCTCAACCTTGTTTTTAAGTTCATCTTTTTTATAAACAGAAAGAGGTTCAGAGTTCCTCATAATCATACATATATTTTTCCATAAGTCAAAAAAGTTGTCTATGTTTAACCTCTTGATATCTGCAACAGAGTTATTTTCAGTTAAGATATAAAATATGACTTCTTGAAATATAAATCCAATAACAAAGACATAACCTATCTCAGTAATGGACACTTCCCTAATTGGTATCTGTCTAAAGTAGTTTTTTGTTTTTTGTTTTTTTTAAATGCTAAGTATTCTGCCTCTACCGCAGGCAGGGGGCAGGGGGTAGGGGGCAGACAAACAGGGAGAAGAGGGAGGCAGGGAGAGAAGGAGATAAATCATTAAAGCACAACCTTAGAAAAGACAAGTCTTCTAATTTAGCCTCCTTGCCAATTAAATTTTTTAAAAAATCTCTTCTTCAGTGCCAATTAAATTTTTTAAAAAATCTCTTCTTCAGTGTCTGTATCAGGAGTTCTGATCGCTAAGGACTATTACGTATGTCTGAAAAGAATATGAAAACAATTTAGGCAATACGAAAAGGTTGGTTACACTGACCCCCTAAGCTTGTTCATAAGGAGATTCAAATGACAGATACAAGACTAAAACTTACTAGAAACGGCTTATCAGTGGATTTCTCCAAAGCTATGGCCAAATCTACGTTTTTTTACATCATTACCAGCATTGGTAAAATAGAGGAAATAATTTGTGCTAACCTCAGAAAAAATTAAACACTTGTCCTAATCTCCTTTAAAGAAAAATACAGAAACGAGAAACAGAAACGAGGAAAAATACAGAAACGAGGATGCTATACAGTAGAATAGTTAAGTGGGAAAGCCCTGGAGCTATTGTCTTTGAGCACTAGATCTGCCACCTTGTTATGCAAAGTACTTTATCTCTAGGTTCTAAAGTCTTCCTTTATAACAAAAGTGCAGGTCAATACTGCCTACCTCATAGAGGATTGGCTTGATATTACAGGTCAAAAATCCCTAATCTGAAAATCCAAAATTCAAAATGCTATGAAATACAAACTTTTTGAGTACTGGCATGACACAAGTTTCACATTAGCTGGGCGTAGTGGTTCACTCCTGTAACCCCAGTACTGAGGAGGCTGAGGCAGAAGGATCACCACAAGTTCAAGGCCAGCGTGGGTTACATAGTGAGACCCTGCCTCAAAAAAAAAAAAAGTTCCGCATTTTCGAGTTCAGATTTTCATTTAAGAATGCAAATCTATGTAAAATCTAAAAAATTCCAAATCTGATAGACACATTTTAAATGCAAGATAAGGATGCTCAACCAACATTACTAAAAAAGCTAATACATATACAGCTGTGAAGAGCACCAAATGGATAGTAAAAGCCCAGTAAATGTTATTATTAAGCCACTGTTTGAAGGAGAGGGAAACTAAAAGACTGTTAAGACTGAAGAAAACAACTTCCCCAATGAAACTCAAAAGTTGTCACTGCTGCATAAATGTGATCAGTGTATGAATCATACAAGTTCCAGCTCTCTTCCTATTTTCTAGTCTTATTTACTGCCTCTAATTTTGGGAAGAGACCAAGATAAACCAATCTTCATTTATACTAAGGCACTGATTCCAGGGGAAAATTTCTTCTCAAAGCTGTGTCTTGAATATCACAGATTACACATACTGACTGGGGCTGGAGGTCTCACAGGACGCATAAAGTAGAGAGCTGCATTTGTTCTAGCAGCTCTAGAAGGAAACTCTGGTTCTCCCAGTGTGCATGCTCCCTCGAGGGATGGCAATTCGACTTACATTTATAACACTTATTCTCTTATTTTAAAAGGAAATTCTCCCTCCTTCTCTCTTTCAAAAGAAAGATGAAACAGTGTTCAAAAAGTGCATTCTTTTCTCAGCTAGCTTTGTGAATTTTTGTTGAGATATCTTATGGACAGATATGAAGTCTTTTGATATCACTGTCTTAGAAACATAAATCAACTTAATCTAAAGTATCATAACATCTGAGATAAAACTTCATATTTAATAAGTCAACAATAAAAGAGACAGCTTACACTGATTGTACCCCACACCCACCCTGGGATGGGGAATAAAACTCAGGAAGCACTGACCTACATCCTCAGCCCTTTTTATTTTGAGATGGGATCTTACTAAAACGCCCAGGTAGGCTTGAACTTGAGATCTTCCTGCCTCAGTCTCTCAAGTAGCTGAGATTACAAGAATGTGCCACCAAGCCCAGTTCTCTACTTTTAAATTTGGGATCACATTAATGGTTTTTGTAGATGTGTGCTGCATATTGCTGGCTAACATTTGAGGGGGCCAGAGAAGAGCCTTCGTGTGTT